AAAGATAAAAATATGAGGGCTTCTTATTTTGGTCAGATTCTTATTCTGATGTGTGCATGTGGATTTAGGCAAAAGAAATTAGATATTCTTATGGAGCTGTCCTCCAGCCCTCCAGGCCTGTTGCTCTCAGCACAGACCTGCCTGGGGATAGGGAGGATTCCTGGGTGGGATGGTTTTCTTAAGGAATGTAAATCAGAAGGCCTGCCAGCCCTGTCCTCTGTTAGCATACCCACAGTCAGGTGGCCAGCTTAGATCACAGCTGAGGCAGGACAGCTTACTCTGGCCTCTTTCCAGGCCAAAGGCCACACCCACCACTAGGAGACTAGATTAAGTATCCTAAAATCATTCTGGCAACAAATATTTACTGAGCAGCTGCTCTATGTCTGGACCTCTGCTAGGTGCTGGAGATCCCATAGGTGAAACCCCAATAAGGTTTCCATCCTCTTTGGAGTTATCAGATGGGAAGCAAATGAATCAAACATCAGAAGCAGTATAGGGTGCAGTACCTGAGATCTGGGGGGTAGGTGGTGGGCAGGACAAGTTTTCTTTTAGAAATGATATAGGAGCTGAGTCCTGGACTCAGAAAGAAGCCATGAATGAGGTGGGAAATACTCTGGGCATGGGCTGCAGCAAGTGCAAAGGGCCTGTGGTAGCACATTTGAAAATTTGAAAGGCTAGTGTAGTTAGAGGACACAGGCTGAAGTGGACAAGGACACGAGAAGCAGAGAAGTAACCTGGAACCTGAGACATCCAGAGACTAAATCACCTATTTTATTTATTAAAGATTCATTTTACTTATTTATGCACACAAGAGCTGGGTTTAGACCAGAGATGGGGGGTGAGAGGATTCACCAGAGAGAGAGTGAGGAGCGAAAAGGCAGACTGACTGAAATACACTGCTGAGGGGAGCAGCGGGCTAGTCAGGAGAGGTCTGCTGTGCCATGTGGGTATCTCCCTGGCCAGGGTGGCTACGGATAGCTTCATAGTGCTGAGACTTAACCCTTTGTGCCACCAGGGAGGCCCCTCACCTGTTCTCTTTAATGTGAATTTGCAAAGACAAAGGAACTGGGGTGGCAGATTTTGAGTCTCTATATAGATCATAGCCATTATGCAGGAGGGTACACAAGAGTGTGCCTCAGAAGCCAAGTGAGAGGAAATACCCCAGCAAGTGGGATTTGAGTCAGACAGCAAGAACTTCCTGCCCAGAGGGCACACTGAGGGCGGACTTCCTCTACTTCACCTGTTATGGGCCACTGCCAGGTAGCAGAAAAGGGATTCCTTTGTTCTGTCACTGCTTTATCCTGCCCTTTGCCATATTACTCCCCACCCTGCTCCTTATTGAGGCGGGCACAGTGAATGCTTATAGAGGAGGGGCTGAGGCTGGGAAGGTAAGGAGGGAAGGCTGCAAGGGTGGGGATGCTGTTTGGAGGCAACTTCAGGCTACACCAGAGAGAATGAGAGGAAAGGGAGGAGACAGCCAGAATCAGCCTGGGCATCAGGTGGGAAAGTGAAGGAAAGGGGTCAGCTCAGGCCTCTCCAGGGGAACCCAACTCCTCGAGGATGAGTCTCCTCTACCCTGGGTCCCAGCTGCATCACCGGCTGAGACAATTGCCTTGGTGGCCACAGGAAGAACAGATTTGCCAGCTGTTCTCTGACACTGTCTGAGTCTCCGATCTGGACAGTAAGCTCCTCGAGGACAGAGCCTATCTGTTCAATAGCACAACTCCCCATATCTGATGCGGTTGACGTTTGTCGAATGAATGAAAACACAAACAAGCAACAAGTACTGTCTTGTAGTGATGACCTGGAGGGAGCAGGCCATCCTCAGCCGCAGACGGGTCCCAGTTGCAAGATCTGAATCTTGATCTAAGTTATTACCACATTCTTCCAAGGATGGGGTGGGGGTGGGGCAGCCTGTTCTGGGTTGTAGAAGGGTAATTCAAAATTCAAAAAGGATTAAGGCAGGTCATGTGATATTCTAGTGAGGAATGTAGCTCTGTGGGCAACTGCTTGAATTCAAGTCCTTGTTTCTGCAGCCTCCTTAGCTCTGTGACCTTGGGCAAGTTATATACCACTCAGTGCCTCACGTTTCTCATTCATGAAGTGGGGGTACAAATATCATAGGGTCGCTGTGAGAATGAGGAGACCGCTTGGCACCTGGTGATGCTCCATGTGACGACCAGCCCCAGTCCCTAGCACGGAGCCATAGACCCAGAGCCCCCTACAACAGATCTTGCAGAACTGCTGCAACAGCAACCGCACGGCCTTCCCCACTGAGCCCACCCTCATCACACCTCAGATTACCAAGGGCCTTTGCCTTCTGCAGACAGGGCCAAACATCTGGGCTGAGAACCTCTTCCTACATAGCAATCCTGGGCAAGGCTTTCTTAATGTCCCCCAACCTCTGCTTTCTTGTTGGTAAAAAAAAAAAAAAAAAAAAAAAAGGCATACTAAGCCCATGTGCCAGCGTTCTTATGGGGGTTATGTACTCAGTATCCAGCCTGCAATCTTCCTGTCCTTCCTCAAGCGGAGCCTGTGGCCTGAACTAGGAACTCCCCATCTGCCATCCCCTTGCCCTCCCCCTCCCCCAGGCACAGAGAGCAAGTGGGACAGTTGCTCTAACATGGAAAACAAACCTCCCAGGGGCAAGTCACATCCTTTTGGTGAAGACCAGCTGGAATGCTCTAGCTGTGAGGCTGGCTGTTAGGGTTGACTACTAGTGACTTTTGCCCCTGTCACCTCAGATGACTCCTGTCAGTTTTCTGCCAGATCACTGACCTGAGTCCTAAGGTGAACCCCACAGGCAGAGGGAAAGTTCTGCAGCCCCAGCTCCTGGCCAGGCCTCTCACCCTGCAGGGGAAGGGGGGTGGCCAATGGGAGTCCCATTCCATTTCTGTTCCCATCTGTAGGGACAAGACTGATCATCCAACCTGCTTACTCATTGGCACGAGAGGAAAGTTGAAGGGGTGGGGGACTCCCTGGTGGCGCAGTGGGTTGAGTGCAGTGCTCTGAAGCTGTCCGCAGCCTTTACAGTGCTGGTTCGATCCCAGCCAGCCAGGGAGCAACCCACATGGTGTGGCAGACCCCAGTTCTTGTATAAATAAATAAATCTTTAAAAAAATAATAAAGTTGGGCCTCCCTGGTGGGTGCAGAGGTTGAGCACTGGGTTGTGAAGCTGCCCGCAGCCTCTGCAGAGGGGTTCAATCCCCAGCTGCTGGGCAAGGGTCCCACATGGCACGCAGACCTCTCCTGCCATGCCCGCTGCTTCCCTCAGCAGTGTATTTCGTCAGTCTGCCTGTTCTGCTCCTCACTCTGGCTCTGGTGAATTCTCTCACCCTCCTGCGCTTCTGACTGTACCCAGTGTTTGTATAAATAAATAAATCTTTAAAAAAATAAATAATAATGAAGTTAAAATGCTTGAAGTGTATCTATCACTTAAAAAAAATAGAGACAGGGTTGTATCTTGAAATTGTTCGTGTCAGAAGAACTGGGAGTAACTATGTTTATCCTACAAGGGCCTTTGTGGTAGCTCTTGTGAGCTTTGGTATTCCAGTGGCTAGAAGGTAGATTTGGGGGCAGTAAGAACACCTTCGGCAGCCACACCCCTATCGGCGCCCCCTGAACCCACATGACAGAGTGGGGAAATCGGCATAAATTGACACACAGGAAATTATTTACAGCATCTAATACGTGGTGCTCTGGTAGCACACACATGGTCCGTGTAAAAACGTCTGCAGGTGTGTAACAGGGCGTGCAGGCTGAAGACCGGGTGCCCAGCAAAGGGGGCTGGTGCGTGCCTGAGGAAGGAGTCTCCCGAGAGAGAAAGAGCTGGCTGTGCTGGAGAGCGGTAAGCAAGGACAAGGAGCAGGGAGCTAGGGAGCCCAGTAGCCCCAGGGCTGGTTTACGGAGTGGGGAGTTGTCAGAGTTGTAAGCCTCAGGTTTGCAGCTTTAAAGTGTCCGTCCTCTTCTTACATGCAGGACCAACATACCCGAGCGCCTGGCACCCCATGAGGAGCACTCCTTGCCCACCCTCACGTCCCCTCTGGTCTCCAACCCCAGGTCACTCGGGCCTTTGCATTTGCTGGTTCTCCAAGGAGTGAAGGACTAAAGTTAGACTCGAGCCTGGAGGGCCTCTATGAACCCCCTGCCTCCCCTCTCCCAGCCCCTGGGTTTGAACTGGGCTAAATAATCTCTCCTGAGTGTTATGGACATTCAACCAGAAGTGCAGTGACCCATACAGTGTTCATGGTATGATCTAAGTAAATGTTTCACCTCTTTCCATTCTAAATAAATCTCCTCTCACCACCGGCTCGTGGCAGGGGAGGAAGGTGGGTGGTGAGGGGCTAGGGATGAACTGCTAGGAAGCAGAGGGGAAAGTGGGCTTTTATTCCCCATCACAGTGCTCACAGGGTAGGGGAACGGGCGCGCCCCTCTCCTGGCCACCCCAGTAACCTGTAACCCGGGAAGGGTCCCCAGGGGCGGGGCGGGGCGCCACCACCCTGCCAAGAGGGCAGAGGACACCTAGCTGCGCGCAAGGGGGAAACAGAAAATGCTCTTCCTGAGCAGGGTCAGCCGATGGCAACCCCCGGGTTTAGGGGCGAAGACCCGAAGGCGGGCTGGAGGCGGGGCGCGCTTCTGCAAGGCGCAGGAATCGGAGCCCAGGAGCCCGCGGCCGAGCGAGCCCACCGCCCCGGCGCTTCTCGGCGCGCGGGCGGGGACTTACGCCGAGACTCGCGGTCACTCCGAGGAGGGCGCCCCCGCCGCGCTCGCCCACGGGGATGGGCCGCGGCTCGCCCTCCGACCCTGTGCCCCGGCCCAACCCCGCCGTCGCCGGCGCGCGGGGCTCCCGGAGCCCCGGGGGCCGGCGGGGGGCGTGGCCGGCGGGCGGCCCGCCCCTTTGATGTGCGCCGGCGCCTCGGCGATTGGACGGCCGCTTGTGACGTGCGGGGACTGCGGCGGGCCGGGTGCTGCGGCAGCCGCAGCGCCAGCCGCGGCTCGGGCTCCGGCTCCCGGGCATTTAAAGGGGACGCGGCGGCGGCGGCCCGGGGGGATGGGGGGCAGGTGGAGGGGACGGCTCAGACGCGCATCACCCACCGCCCCTCGGCACTGGAGGGACTCGTGAGCCGGAGCCCAGAAATCCGGGGGTGGATAAGACACCGCGTCCCCTCAATTCCCGTAAGCACCCCTCGCTCCATCCTGCGCCCAGTACCTCAGCTAGCCCCTCTCCCCACTCCTCACACTCCAAACTCTGTCGGGACAGACCCTGCCGCCGCCGCGCCCCACGTGAGTCCTGGGTCTCCCGAGGTAGGGGCGGGCCGGGGTCCCACTGAGGGGTGGGGGCTGCGGGGAGTTCGAGAGCGCTCCTTCACGCGTGTGTCGGCGGGGACCTCCCTGGAGCGGAGGAATGAGTCCCCCTTCTATCGCCCACCCCAGGGACGTGGTGCCCGGGTTTTCCCTCTGTCCCCGATTAGGGGAAAGTGAAGGAATCCGTGTCCCCTTGCTCCCCGCCACCCACGAGTCCCTTCGACTTCCCTAACTGCGCAACCCCCGCCCCGCATTGGGAAGCACCCGCCAGCTGGGGGTGTGCCAGAGTGCCTGATTTCCAGCCACCTCTAAAAATATCTCTCCCCCCACTGCACCGGCAGCTGCCACCTCCCTGGCCAGTGAGGATCCCTTGCAGTTTGCCCACCTAGGCAGGACCAGCCCAGAGGTGACTTCTGGTCCCAGCTTCCTCCCTGGCACCAGGCATCACGGCCAGCCAGTCAGGACAGCAAGGGGGTGGGGGGAATCCCCGAGCAATATGGGAAGGTGAACATTATGGAAAGATGTGGCTGCAATTTTCCCAAGAGGCACCTGAGGTCCCTGAGTTCTAATCCTGATTTTGATGCTGTGTGACCCCCCCCACCCCCCAGGACATTAGCTTGACATCTGGGCCTGTTTTTCCTATTTGCTGCCAGCGTTGGTGAGCAAGGAAGAGACTAGGGAAGTTGGGAGCTATATGGGGGAGGGAGAGATTTCCAGCTTGGTGACTCAACCTGATTTCTAGTGATTGATACACAGGGATCTGGTCTTGGGCAGAGGACTTTTACAATATTATTTCTGGGATCATAACCACCACCACCACCCACACTCTCACATTTCCTGTGGGGAAATGTCACCAAACTGTCCTGAGGACTTCTTGTACATTAACAGGGGAATTTCATATTTAGGACCCATGCCATAGAGCGGCCTGTTTCCTTCCCCCTTTCCCAGGGGACCCTCCCACCCCATTCCCACAGATATAATCTAAGAACATTTGTGTAAAAAGCAGGGAGGAATCCGGTGATCTGATGTGGAATCGGGGGCAGGCACCCCTTTCAGATGCGACTAGAATATGGACGGACTCCCTGCCTCCCCCAAGAAACCCTTTTCTCTCTGCTCTAGACTGCAGGAGCAGCTCAAGGAGCTTGTCCCCCTTTTCTCTGAGGGACTCAGTTTGGCAACCACAAAAGGATTTGATCACTCTGGACAAAGCTACCAGAGGTGAGTAACCTTTTTGAAGGGGATCCCAACTGGGTGGGGCTCCCTCTAACGACTGGGGCTTGAGAGGTGAGGGACATCCCAGCAAGGGCTTCTCAGTAACTCAGGGAAGAAGCCCAGGATGCCTCGCTTTCTGCCCTGAGGACTGAAAGAAATAAGGGCAATGGCACCAAACAATAAATGTTTAATTTCCCTAAATACTATTAATAGATGGAAAAAAAAACTGTCTTGAGCTCTGAGAAATTAGAAGCGTTGAAAGTGATTAAAATCAGTAAAGTACTCCATCAACTTAAAGAAAAAGAGACAAGGACAAAGTAATGAAAGCGGGTCTGTGGGCAGCTGCTGGGGACCCGTGCTTCTCCCGCCACCCGACACTTGTTTGCCCATGTTTACTTTTACAATGGGAGTGGCATCCCTTGACCTTTCTCCTCCAACTCGCCTGGCCTTGGGCAGACATATCAGCGGGATCCTGGAACACTAGAATTCCCTCCAGAAAGGACCTGGAGACAGTTCCTTCCACCCCAGCCCCCCAAACCTGCATTCCCTCATCCCCCTTGCTTCCCTCCCCTTATCTCCCATCTTCTCCTTGCCCTGTCTCATCTCCCAACCCTCTCCCCTTTCACTACCCAATTCAGCTACCCCACTCATCTCTGGCTCCCACAATTCCTTAATTAAAAGTTATTAGGGAAGAAGCTGGAACCATTATCCCAAACCTACTGAACATGTTTAATGCTTATGTGGTCAGTATGTGAGAAGGGAGAGATGGGCACATCAAGGTAACAGGTAATGAAGTCCTTCCCTCAGACCTGGACCCTGCTCCTGGTATGTCCTGTCTGGGGGGCACTAGCTTCTCCCTGCTGTCCTGGGATGGTCTGTGGAGAGGATCACCTTGACAAAGTCAGAGGGACTGGCTGTACCTCCCATGGTCACCACCAGAGGGCAGCAGCCAGCCAGACCTTGGCTCTGTTCACATCTAGTCTCCAGGTTCTTTAATATCTTTCCAGTCTATCCCGGCTGGGGCTGCCTCTGGTCTCTTCCACTCCAGGGTGGAAGTGAGTGGGGGGTCTAGGGAGAACACTGGGAGTTGCAGGTGGTGTCCTTTGTAGCTGCAAGGTGAAGGCCTCTATCATCAGAGCCACACAGCAAATACCATGGAAATTTCAACCCGATTACTGTCGCACTGCTGGCCTCTGAAAGCACCTGGGACGTCAGTCCCAGATCACCCGTAGTGCTCCCAGGGTCCCCCTGCACTGTGGGACAGTGAGCCCAGTCATCTGCCCCTTGCCTTTTGAGGGCAAAGGGAAGGCAGGGCTGTGGCCAGGTGTTCATGAATCAGGCTCTGCTGAGTACCTGGGACTGATAACCAGTGAAAGAATATGAGTGAAAGTGGTTAATAAACTGTCGTGCCAACACATGAAAGGGGCGCTGATCATACTGGAGAGAAAAGCACCAGTCTCATACTGGTTCTGAGATCTGACTCTGTCACCTACAGTGGGTGAACTTTGAGCCAATGGGTTAAGCTGTCTGGGTCTCCAGTAATGTCATCTGTAACCTCAAACATCCTGGGGCATTGTTAAGAGGGCGCCTAACAAGGACATTGGTTTCTGTAAGTGCTGTGCCCCTTCAAGGGGCTATTTTTACTGAACCCCTGGGAGTCATTTCAGGGGCTCAGCAGAGGGATAGGGCCAGGTGGACATTAACGGTGGTAATAAAGTCAGCTGACCGTACACCCTCAAATGGACCTTCTGTGGTTGTCAGGAGCTCTGGACGACGGCTGGATGCCAACAGAGTCCCCGCAAGTGGTGGCCAGGGTGATGTGCCGACAATGAACGGGTGTTTTCCAGTTGCTGGCCTCCGGTGCCTGTCTAGGGTAAGTGGGTCCCTGTAAGGGTCACTTTGGATGAGACCTCAAGCCCCATTTTTCCATCATGGTAGGAAGAGCCCCATCCTGCCCCTTTCAGGCTGGCCTCACCCTTACCCGGCCTCTACCAATCCCTGGAAGCTTCCGCCCCGGACATGGGGACCTGAAGTTTTACAATTTCAACTCCAGGGATCCTGGGCCCCTGAGAGTCCCAGGTAGATGGTGGTGAGACCAGAGGGTGACCCTGGGGATGCGGTCAAAGGAACAGCTCTCTTAGGGAAGCAGAGAGCCCCATTCAAATCCCAGCTCTGAATCAGGAGCTTGAACTTCCGTTTCACAAGGCGTGCCAGGCCATGGCACTACAGACCTGTTAGAGAGGGAGTCAGAAAGAAGCCAGAAAGAGGAACGGGAGGCCTGCGAGGGAGAAAGGCAGTGCGGGGGGTGTGAAGCCGAGCCTGGCCTGCTCACTCTGCGGGCTTGTAGAGCAGCTGGCAGGCAGAGGCGCAGGGAGAGACTGCTGAGGCTTCTGCTGTCTCCAATTGCTTGCCTTTCTTGTTCCCTCACACTTGCCTGTTGTCCCCATCCTCTCCGTGTCCCCCGTCAACGTGACTCTGGTCCAAAGTCTGACCATGTCGGGAGCCACCAGGCCCCACTCTGTCTTCCTGTCCAGCCTGTCTCCAAGCTCCCCCTGCATGACTTCCTCCTAGCCCTCTCCTCCCCCACCCCACATCTCCACTCCTGCTCCCTCCTCTGCCGTTTCAGCCACGGCTGCTCTCTCTCCTCTCCCTTACCTGTCTCCCAGGTATGTCGTGGCCTGTTGCGGGAGGCTCCTACCTCCCCAAGCCCCACTGCTTCTCCTGCTGCCCGCTTGCTTCGGACTCTGGCAGAAACCCCATCTGACACCTTCCTCCCAGGGAATTGGCAAGTGATTAGTGATGAGCTGTCAGCACAGGGCCCTAAAACTCCCCAGAGAAGCTGTGTCCCACCCCTGGACCCCTTTCCAGAGCCATCTGTCTGGAAGAAGCTCCCAGAGAGTCTGCCCGGGTCAGTCCACCTGGCTGGTTATTCCACAAACCAAAACCCGGTTCTCTGTGCAAACTCTCCAGGCACTGAACTCTCCAGGCCTGGATCTTAGCTCCTGCCCAGGACTAGGGACCTGGCACTCATTATCTACATGACTGGGATGATGCCAACAGGTGGCCAAAAGCCTGGCTCCTTATTGCCCACCACAGTCCCGCAGCCATGGTTCCTCTAGTGGGGTGAATGGGCATCTCCCTCCACGGGCTGTTAGGGCAGACGGCCCTGGAGAGTCCCCGCCACCCACCCTGTATCCACATCTAAGCAGGGGTCGCTGCAATGCTCCACAGCCATCTAGTCCAGAAGTCTCCCCAAAGGGGTGACCCCTTGGAAGCTGCTCTTCCCTCTTTTAAGCTGACCCTTTTAAACTTCCGAAAGAAACAGAAACAGGTGCGAAGAACCCTTCTGGGTTCGGGAGGAGGACGGTCCTCTGAGGATAAACCCAGCGCAGTTAACCGAGAGGTGCCAGGGGGGCGGGTGGGGGGGTGGGGGCGGCGGCGGGTGCTCCACACAGCTTAACCAGCCTTGGGTCCTCCTCAGGTCTCGGACGCGCCAGCGCCTCTGGCCGTGGCCCGCTAACCAGCCTCTCCTCGGCCGGCCCCCGCCGCGCCGCCTCTCGCTTGCTCCCTCCTCCTGCTCCTCTCCCCCCTGCTCCCAGGACGGCGGGATGGCGGCGCAGGGCGCGCCGCGCTTCCTCCTGACCTTCGACTTTGATGAGACGATCGTGGACGAGAACAGCGACGACTCCATCGTGCGCGCTGCCCCGGGCCAGCGCCTGCCCGACAGCCTGCGCGCCACCTACCGCGAGGGCTTCTACAACGAGTACATGCAGCGCGTCTTCAAGTACCTGGGCGAGCAGGGCGTGCGGCCGCGGGACCTCCGCTCCATCTACGAGGCCATCCCCCTGACGCCGGGCATGGGCGACCTGCTGCAGTTTGTGGCCAAGCAGGGCTCCTGCTTCGAGGTGATTCTCATCTCGGATGCCAACACCTTCGGCGTGGAGAGCGCGCTGCGCGCCGCCGGCCACCACGGCCTGTTCCGCCGCATCCTCAGCAACCCGTCGGGGCCCGACGCGCGGGGGCTGCTCGCGCTGCGGCCCTTCCACACGCACAGCTGCCCGCGCTGCCCCGCCAACATGTGCAAGCACAAGGTGCTGAGCGACTACCTGCGCGAGCGGGCCCACGACGGCGTGCACTTCGAGCGCCTCTTCTACGTGGGCGACGGCGCCAACGACTTCTGCCCCATGGGGCTGCTGGCCGGCGGCGACGTGGCCTTCCCGCGCCGCGGCTACCCCATGCACCGCCTTATCCAGGAGGCCCAGAAGACCGAGCCCAGCTCCTTCCGCGCCAGCGTGGTGCCCTGGGAAACCGCCGCCGACGTGCGCCTCCATCTCCAACAGGTGCTGAAGACCTGCTGAGGACCGCGGCCTGCCGGGGGCGCCCGGGCGACCGGGTGGAAGGGGGTGAGGGATGGGGCGAGCGGGAAAGACGAACCTACTTTTATTACTCCCTTTTCCCTTTTGTATGTCCCTCCCTCCGCGAATTTCTAGACTTCCAGGCTCGTCCATTTAGGGGCTGGGGAGGGAGTTCGGAGCCGACCCTATCTATGCAGTTAACCCGGTTCGGCTGCCTCCCCCGGTTCTGCAGCAACAGTTGAATGCAGGCCCAAGCCGGTGGCGCGCGCACCGAGCCGGCAGCAGTGCTTCCAAAGCCTCGTGCCCCGAGCTGGGAGGGCGCAGGTCCTTGGCAGCGGAGAGCAAACATCTCCCACCGCTTTCATGGCTGCCTCGGGCTGTGAACCCTCTCGCGCAGCCCCTAGTTTCCTCTTTAGAGGACCCAGGTTCTGAGATCCTCTCGGCCAAACCCGACTACCCGTGGAGAAAGATGGCCCCGGGCCTAGATCTTGCTTCACCGACCCCGCCGCCCACCCGCCAGCGCCCCCCGAGGACCGAGAGCCAGAGGGAATAGTCGCCTCCTGGTGGTGGGACGAGGGAGCACACGGTCCGGCTTGGGGCTGGCCCGCCTCGCACCCCAGCCTCGTCTATGCAGCAAGTGACCAGGGACCTTACCGAAGTCGCCCCCGCCGGTTGCCCCCTCCCCTGCGCGCGTACTCCCCTCCCGTATGGAACTGAAAGCCATGATGTTTTAAAGCAGAGCCAGCAAAACCCAAGCCCCTCCTCCCTCTTTGGTGTTTTAGAGCTATAAAGGAGGCAAAGTGGGGAAAAGTGAATGATATGTCTTGCGCCGCAGTCTAAGGGGTGAGGTGATCTCTGCTCTCAGCCCCACTTAAGTAAGGGAGCTGATCCCCATTCTTGGAGGAGCGCCCAGCTTGAGTGAACCAAGACTGAACAACACTCAGCAACAGGGAGAACAAGGTGCGCTCAGTAGCTGAAGAGGGGCATCCGGGTCAAGTGTGGAGGGCACTTAGTGGGGATCTGGGAGCGACACTGCTGCTGAGGCAGGCAGAGGGCGCCCAGGGATTGTCAGGAACCTTAAAACTGGGATGCTTTCAGTCCCTCCTGACTCCTCAGCCCTGCAGGGCAATCATGAGGTCAGCAGAGTTTTATTCAAAGTTGGCACCTGCAGCTGGAGACTCCATCCTGCGTGGATGGGGGTCTTTTATGGACAAAACCACCCAACTCCTTGGCTTCCAGTTCTTTCCTTTCTGCTTCGGGCCTCGGGGTATCTCCTCTCTAGCGCCAGGACTTCCCGCCACAATGGGGAAAGGAACAGACACAGCTCAGAGCCCAGAGAGGCGAGCAGGCCTGTGGCAGCCCTGACTTTGGAGTTGACTTTGGCCTGGAGCTCAACAGGCTCACTCAGGGTGGAGCCTGGGTCGTGGCCCACAGAGCCTTGGGCTGTCAGCAGCTGGGCTCCACATAGTTCCCGGGGAAGAATCCAGTCCCCTCGGAGCTGACGCCCTCGCACCAGCCATCGGAGTAGCGGCGGGTGATGCAGATGACGGTCCCCTCAGAGAAGGAGAGCTCGTTGTCCTTCTGGCGGGTGTACGGGTAAAGTGTCACCACTGCAGGGCAAGAGGAGAGGGTGCTGTGAGCTCCACGTCCTGCCCCACTGTGGAAAGCAAGGGTTCACAGCAGATTCTAGGGCGCCTCTAGGAAGAGGAGGCAAGGAGTGTGCGTGTGTGGGGCGGGGGGCTTCCCACCTCAGTTGTCAGTATTAGCCAATTGCCTCTCTTGCCAGCTTGATTCTAAGTGGACTCCTGGGTGAACATTTACGCAGTCAGACAAATGGGGGAGGAGGGTTGCCGACAGCTGTGAGAAGGGGACAACAGGCCAGAATACCTCTGTGGTAGAAGGACGGGGTGGGGACAGGGAACCGAGTCAGTACCTTTCTCTAAGTAGGAAGCAGGAACCCAACTGGGCTCTTCGGTCTCGAAGCCTGGTGGGGGCGGAGGCAGCAGCCCCAGTTCATCCATATCTGTGAGTGGGAGCGGGGCCAGGTCCAGAGGTGGGGGCAGCTCCAGGTCTGGGAGGGAAAGCAGAAAGGCTGCCAGTGGCGCAGGGAACCCCCTGCCCTCACCCCAGGACACGTTCCCGTTCATGATCAGCACCCACTCACTTGGAAGGGATTTTCCTCCCGCCCTCACCCATGGCCTCTCACCATGTCTCCAGCACATAGTAGGTGCTCAATAAACACGGGGCTGTTGAACAGTGTAGAATAGTGAGACTGAAAATTAGCGGGGTGCCCTTGGGTGAGTCACTTGCCTCTCACCTCAGCGGCTTCGTCTGGTAAATGGGAGTGTGCAGAGCCCCAGGGCCAAGTTTAAATAAGAAAATGGCAAGAAGCTTCACACAGCGGCCTAGTGTAAAACTGTCACTAAACTGTCAGCTCACTTCCCCCACCTTCCCACTCCCGTTACCCCCACTTGGCTGGAGAAAGCGTTCGCTGAGGTGGGCTGGATTTGGACCATGGCGGTGAGAAAGCCACAGTGTGTCCAGCCAGGAGAGGCCGGGGCTCCTTACCGGGCGGGGGCAGGGACAGGTCCTCCGGCGGAGGGGGCGGCAGGAAGACGTCAGAGACGGCAGGGGCGGGTGGAGCGGGTGGAGCCATGGAACCGGGGAGAGGTGGGGGTGGGGGTGGGGGTGCGGCCGCCGCCTTGCTCTGCGAGACCCCACCGACGCCTTCAGCGCTGCTGCAGACCAGCGAGAGAGCAGGGCTCAGGTCCGAGGGCGCCGTACCCTCTCAGGGGCCCCCCAAAAGGCCGCGCCCCTGCGACCCCGAGTCCTCTCGACCGCTCCTCCCACCCCACTCCCCCAAACTTGCTCTCGTGGGGCTCACCCGGCCGAAGTCAGTGAAGAGACCGAGGAGGCAGCCGAGAGTTTGCCGTCCGGCACCACCGGGATCTGCACCGGCTCGGGGATTCGGGTCGCTCTCCTGCGGGTGCAGGGGGGTCGTGAGGGGGAGGAAGCCTCTGGCAAGCAGGGGTGGGGCGGAGGGGCAGCTGGCTGGCGAGGAAGTTCGGCGCCAGGCGTGGGGCGCACCGGGGAGGTGTGGGTGGCAGCGAAGCCTCACCCCAGCGTGGCGGAGGCGGGTGTGGCAGGTGCTTTGATGCTCTTGCGAGACAGAGTGCCGGTCCGCGACAGCTGCGTGCTCAGGTCCTGCGGGGGACAGAGGCCTGGGGGTGACAGCGATAGGGGACCCCCAACCCCCACAGGTGAGAGAGGAAGTGGGGGAGGGAGGACGAGAAAGATCTGGGAGAGCGCGGGCACAGCAAGTTCCCACTTCCACGTCCAGCCACCACCACAGCACCCGCTGCTCGCGCCGGCCGGGCTCCGGGCCCCTCGTGTGCAGCAGGCCCCCGCGGAAGCCTCCGGGGCCCAGACGCGGGCTGCCGGCCACTTCCTCTGCTGAGTTTCTGCGGCTGAGTGGAGCCCCTCCCCCACAGCCTCTGGGCGCCCAGGGAGCTGGGACCCCGGCTGGTGGTTAGACCCCGATTAGACCCCGACCCATGGCGGACTGAGGAAGGGGTAGGAAAGGAGAGGCCCCGCGCGCTGATAACCTCCCCCGTGTGGCTCTCACAGGCCCGTGGGGCTGACTACGTGCAGAGAGGGGCAGAACGTTTAGAGGAGGGTGCTGGAAGGACACGGTGCAATCCCACAGGCAAGAGAGCACCTCTGTCACTGCCGGGGCTTCCCCAAGACTGGCACAGGGGGCACGAGACCCTTGGTTTGCTCCACTTCACTAGGGACTTGAGCTGAAGCATAAAGAATTTTAGTTGGGGGCCTCCCTGGTGGCTCAAGGGGTTAAGCACAGCACTGTGAAGCTATCCACAGCCTCTGCAGCATGAGTTCGATTCCCGGCCAGGGAGGTGATGCAGCAGACCTCTCCTGTCTCGCCCGCTGCTCCCCTCAGCAGTGTATTGCAGTTGATCCTCCTGCTGTGTTCCCCACTCTATCTCTGTGAACTCTTTCACCCCCTGTACCTCTGGCGTGTACCCCAGTTCTTGTATGAATAAATAAATAAATCTTAAAAAAAAAAAAAAGAAAGAAAGAAATGTCAGCCCTGCTTCCCTCTCTTCAAGCCCTCTTTGAGTGACTTATCCCTTCCCCTCCCCACCCAGCAGCTGCTCTGGGGTGACTGCTCAGTGCAGTGACCTCAAACCTCCAGACAGAGGAAGTTGCCGTTCTTATGTGGCCGGGAAGCCATTCTCATGTACACCCTGACACCTGCCCCCCCCCTTCCCCTTCCCACAGCCTGCACTGTAGGGTGTGCTCAGATGTCACTCTCAGCAGATAATGAGTGTAGGATAAAGGTCAGCTACGAAGAAAGGGCCATGAAGGATTTTTAAAGAGAAGGAGGAGACGACAGACCTGGGGAGTTGGGGAGGGCCCCTTGGGGATCACTTCCGGGAATGAGGAAAGAAAGGAGTTTGTTTGCTGGGACCAGGAGAACTGGGAGCCTGGTGAGGAGAGAGCCATGAGACAGAAGAGCGTGGTGGGCTGTGGAGAAAAAGGAGGGTTTCCTCTCTCTACCTTGATCCCATGGCCAATGTCATCCAGGCAGCCGAAGTTGAGGGGTCTCCTGCAGTAGGGCGTAAGGGGAGGCAGGCTCTCGGGGGCGATGACTTTCTGACCCACAGGCAGCCGCTGGACGGTGGCCAAGGTGCCGATCTCCCTTCGGGCCACTTTCTCCATATGCATGTTCACTATCTGCAAATGGGGTTTGAGGTGACAGTGGGGGCGGCCTCTGTACAGCGCCCTTTCCTTTAAGGGAGGAGGAGGCTAGAGAATCTGTGAGGGAGTTTTGTCCCCAAGGCCTCACAGCATTTGGAAAGGGTAGCAGGGGAGGATGGAACCACTTTGGACCAACTTCCTGGTGGAAGAGAATGAGGGTTATTATTAGCTGAGCAGGAACAAAGGGAAAGGAGAAAACCCAACGTCCCTGGGGATGCTGGGAAGAGACCGAAGGACGGGGCTGGCCCCGGAGCAGAGGGGATAACACGGCCGTGCCTGGGAGTCATGACCAGATCAGCTCTCCCTTTTGGGGGACAAATAAGTGAACTGACTTTCTTTTGGAGGGTTCCGTGGCAAAACCTACAGCAGTGAGAGGGTGGGGACTCCGGCCTGCGAGGGTAGAGGAAAAGGCACACCCCACACTGAACATGTGGGTGATGCGCAGGCCCGGCGGAATGCGTAACTGGCTCCGTGCATGAGGCTCAGGGGCAATTCCTCGGCCAAGGATCCAGGAAGGAAGCCGGAGGGTGTGTGTGCTGACAGGAGGGGCGCACGGCGTGGCGGCCTCGCTTCCAGGGTTGCAGAGGACCTGCCAGCAAGCCCTCCGGGTCCAGGACATCATCGAGCCACTGCCTGTGTTTACATGGGGTCCCTCTGCCTCTTGCCGGTGTAGTCTGCAGTCACTGACACAGGGGGGGCAGAAAAAGAGAGCTCTGCCTTCAGGAAACCCCTGTTTCGAGGGGGCAGCAATGCTCTGCACTGACAGGCATGGAGAAAAAGGGGTTCACAAATTTGGGGATGTGCCAGCCTTCTGCCCTGGAGCCAGGCATTTGGACATGAAAGGAGGTGGAAAAGCACTTCTTTGGGAGAAAATGCCCAGGTGGGCTGAGGCATTGGTGGCTGATGCGAGGAGACTTCCCACACCGCTTACCTGGCCCAGCGTGCTCACCCGGGCCTCCACCTGCCGCAAGCCAGCTGCCTGCAGGTCCAACATGCGCAGAGTGTGCCCGGCCAGGTTGTTCACCTGGTAGGCCACGCTGGCCAGGGCCTGGGTGGTAAAGGCCATGGTCTCCTCCAGTGCCTTCCGCTTGTCTGTGGCCTGAAATGCAGACAGCCCTGGCCTGAGTCAGTGAGCCGGGCAGGGTGGAATGGGAGAGGGGTAGGGGAGGTGGGGACTGAGTTGGGAGAAAGCAGCAACCCTTAGATGTCTAATGGGAAAACACCCCAACTCAAATAGTCAAGCTGAGAATTGACCCTACTACTCTCCTGAGGACCTTGTGGGGGGTGGGGGGTAGAGGGTGAAAGGTAGGGAGGAAAATAGAGATGACAGAGAAAATAGTAGGGAGAAAACACAGCAGAGGCAACACTGGCTGGAGGAGATATTCTCAAACTTAAAAACCAGCCACCCAGGCCTCCCCGGTGGCGCAGTGGTTGAGCGCTGGGTTGCAAAGCTGCCTGCGGCCTCTGCGGTACCGGTTTGATCCCCGGCTGCTCCCCGGCCACAGGAGGAGGGTCCCACATGGAGCGCAGACCTCTCCTGCTGCCCGCTGCTCCCCTCAGCAGTGTACTTCGGTCCTTCTGCCTGCTCTGCTCCCGCTCTGGCTCTGGTGAATTCTCTTACCCTCCCGCGCTTCTGACTGTACCCAGTGTATGTATAAACAAAACAAACAAACAAATAAATAAATAATAAATAAATAAAAATACATGCCTCTTTAAAAAAAAAAAAAAAAAAACAGCCACCCAACCTCAGGCCCCTATCCCAGACCTTCTAACCAGAATCCGTGGGGGAGGATCACCTGAATCTTTTTATTTTAAGATTTATTTATTTATGCATACAAGAGCTGGGTTCAAGCCAGAATTACGGGGCGTGAGTGGGAGGATTCACCAGAGACAGAGTGGGGAACAGAACAGGCAGACTGACTGAAGTACACTGCTGAGGGGAGCAGCAGGCGAGTCACGAGAGGTCTGCTGCACCTTGTGGGCAGCTCCCTGGCCAGGGATCGAACTCATGCCGCAGTGGCTGCAGATAGCTTCATAGGTTGTTTCTTAACCCCTTGTGCCACCAGGGAGGCCCTGAATCTGCACTTTTTTTTCTTTTAAAGATTTATTTATTTATGCATACAAGAGCTGGGGTACAGGCCAGAGGCACTGGGGGTGAGAGGATTCACCAGAGACAGAGTGGGGAACAGAACAGGCAGATGGACCAAAGTACACTGTTGAGTGGAGCAGCGGGAGACACAGGAGAGGTCTGCTGCACCATGTGGGTTGCTCCCTGGCTGGCCAGGAATCAAACTCGTGCTGTTGTGGCTGTGGATAGCTCCATAGGTTGAGTCTTAAACCTTGCGCCACCAGGGAGACCCGAATCTGCACTTTTAAAAGCAACTCAGTTAACACCTGTGCTCCTTGTTTAGCTCTAGTCCAGTGCAGGTTGGTAGCTGGGAACTGGTGATCTGCTCCATTCCATGAATAAAGAAACTGAGGCCCACAGGGGTGTGACTTCACTCACTCTTGTCCTCCAGCAGCTTCCCAATACACAGACTGAGCATGAAACCCAAACTTGTAACCATGGCCCGTGGATGCCCCACAAAGCTGGCTCCTGCCTTTCTCTTCACATTCATCCTCCGCACACAGACTCCCCTCCAGCCACACTGGCCTTCAGGTTTCTGTTCCTGATGAAACCAGGGGCGTCTCTACCTCAGGACCTTTGCATTTGCTGGACATCTTTCTAGAATCCTGCCATTAAGTCTCCGCTTCTCAGACACCTCTCCTCAGGACCTCTGTAGGTACCCTGTCACACTTACCTTTTCTCTTTTCCTCATAGCACTTAGCACTTTCAGGAACAATTTATTCCCCCCCCCCCACTATCCTCATACTCACTAAGATGCCAGCACTGTGAGGGCAGAGAGCGAGTCTGTTTTATTCTGATGGTGTCTTAGAATAGTGCCCAATACAGAGACAATATATTAAAAAAAAAAAAAAAAGTGCTTTTGTGACTTAATTAAGGAATTGAAAACAATCCCAAACACTTGCTGGGCATCTTCCTCCTACATGCCAGGCACTGTGCCAGGTGCTGGCCAGGGTCACACTGCCAGTCAGTGATGGAGGGGTGGGCAGGGAGTGGCTGAAGATAGAAGAGGTTTTTTTTAGTCCCGGATCAGACTGTGGGGGGTGGGGCAAAACTTTTGGGGTAGTTTGGTTCCCCAGGCAGCTTCCTCATCTCAGGTCATCACAGGCCTTCAAGCCTCTGCCTTTCTCCTGAGCAGGGGGTGGGGAGGCCTGGGGCAAGTTGGGCAAAGCCAGTGGACAAACTGACAAGGGTCTCTTTGCCAAGGGCATCCAGTGCTCCTCAAGGCTTGTCAGAGAGCAGAGACCTAGGAGACCTAGGACCTATCAGAGCAGGGTGCTGAGCGAGACCCGGGTGCTTCGCCTGTGGCCTGAGCCAGGCTGGAGCCAAAGGCCAGGCCAGGAACCTCCGGCAGCCTCTGCCATGGCTCTCCTCTCAGGCCTCCTCCACACCCTCCTGTTCCAACAGAAAGACATGCTCATTTGCGTGCAATTTACATCTCATCAACATATATAACCAGAAGACTTAAAAAGGCAAAGGAATCAATCCAGGACCTTAAAACCTGAAAGGATAGCAGCTCTTGTTCTAGTTCAAGGCCTTCCTCTACTAAGTGGGGAAATGAGGAACCAGGCTGGAGGAGCGACTACTCTGGTCTCCACCCAGCTTTCTTAAACTGCCTCTCTGGTGCTGACCCTTCCTGGACAGGCTTGTGGAATTGCCAGCACCAACAGGAAAACGTCTGCCTGAACCCAGCTCCTAGATGCCAGAGCCTGGATCCCTGCTGGCCCCTGGCTTTGGTCTTGGTCCAAAGCTAGGACCCAGAGACTGAGATCTGGGACCCATTCTCGTGACCACGGCTTATTCATCATGCAAATCTGGAAGTTCAGTGGACCCTGACCTAGAACTCTGCAGGTGACCCCAGCCTGCCCTCCCCTAGTCCCCAGGGGCTTCTTGACACCTGGTTGGGGTGGAGGGAGTGGCATGAAGGAAGGATAGAGCACTTAGGACCTACGCCCTGTTTAGACAGTTCTCAGAAGTTCTCCAAACCCTACACAGACATATGCTCCCCAGAGCAGGTCTCAGAAGTTCTTCTGAGGTCTCCCCTAGAATCCTGAGCATCCTGTATGCAGGAAGAAGAATTCCCCGGATGCTGACCTGAACCAGTGCCGGGGAGGCGGGGGGGTTTTGCAAAAACTGCTTCACCTGGACATTCACTAGCTGTATGGACCTTTCATCCTTTTAAAAAGTGATGCTGGGCCTCCCTGGTGGTGCAGCGGGTTGAGCGCCACACTGTGAATCTGTCCGCAGCCTCTGCAGCGCGGGTTTGATTGCCAGCCGGCCAGGGAGAAACCCACATGGCATGGCAGACCTCTCCTGCCTCTCCTGCTGCTCCCCTCAGCAGTGTATTTCAGTCAGTCTGCCTGTTCTGTTCCCCACTCTGTCTCTGGTGAATACTCTCACCCTTCCCGGCCTCTGACTGTACCCCAGTTCTTGTATAAATAAATCTTTATAAATAAATAAATAAATAAATAAATAAATAAATAAATAAATAAATAAAAAGTGATGCTAATAATCACAGTCACTGTCACAGTGGCAATAACTGCCAATTATCCTGCCCTTTATTTTTTTACAGATTTATTTTATTTATTTATGCATACAAGACCTGGGTTGTAGGCCAGAGGTGCAGGAGGCAGGAGGGTGAGGTTCTGAAAGGTTAATTCACTTTCCAAGGTCTCTACGCTAGTGCCAGAATCTGGATTTGATCCCTTAACTTTCACTCCAGATCCCACCTGCTAAAGCTATGGTCGGAAATGCTACCGACCTGAGTACAATTTCTGTCTGGAGATGTTGAAAGACCGACTTGTAGAGGAGATGGCTTGTATGCAGGATTCACCAGAGACAGAGCAGGGAGCAGAACAGGCAGATCTACTGAGGATACACTGCTGAGGGCAGCAGCGGGCAAGACAGGAGAGGTCTGCTACACCATGTGGGTCAGCTTCCTGGCCAGGGATCGAACTCCAAAGGCTGGCAATAGATTCATAGTGCTGTGTCTCAACCCCTTGCACCACCAGGGAGGCCCTATGCTGCCTACGTAAAGAATCTACATACATTATATTTAACCCCTGTGACCTCCATGAAGGGGAACTTCAACAAGGTCCTGTCATTGGTAGGCAGCAGGGCTAGAAATTGGACTCAGATTTCTCCAAACTCTGTGTGCATGCTGTGTATGCAGAGGACAACCCACTGGGAAGTGCTCTGAGATGTGCAGATGTTGCTGAGGGGTCGGAGGCCTGCTTCTCTCCAGGAGCCTGCCTTGCGGTGCTGCCACAGCCCAGCTGCTTCACGGCCATCTCCTCAACAAGCCGGTCCCTCAACATCTACAGACAGAAATTATACCCAGGTAGCACTTCCGACCAGAGCTTTAGCGAGTGGGGTCTAGAGTAAGAGTTGTGGGATCAAGTCCAGATTCTGCCACTAGTTTGGAGAACTTGCAGAGTGAATTAACCTTTCAGAACCTCAGTCTGCTCAGTGAAGGTGGAGTGGCGCTCAAGCCACAGGCCCGGGCAAGTTCTAAAGGAGGTTATATGGCAACACACCTGCCCAAAGTAAGCATGGCAGCCTCTAACTCTCTTTAATCTGCCATCTTCCCAGAAGCACTTGCTCCTTTCATTGTCTTTTTTTTCCCCCCCTAATGCTTTTGCTGTTTGGGGAGGTTCCTATACCTCTTCCTATAGTTTGATTAGAATAAATTAGAAAAATAAAATTTTTCCCAAAGGGTGTCAGGGTCAGCCTGTAGTTTTTAAGGGAACAGAGGAAACTGAGGGCAGAGGCGTGCATCAACTGTCTCAAAGTAAGTGGGCCTGTCCGGGCGGCAGAGCAGGGCAGAGGAGAGAGCTTGGGCAGAAGCCAGGTGGCCTCGCTGACCCCACGCTTTCCAGGCTGTGTGACCTTGCCCAGGTCGCCTGTCTCAGCTGCCATTTCCTCAGCTCAGAACCAAGAACCTCGCTACTAGCCTCAGAAGGGGAATGAGGACTGATGAAATGACAGGCGTGCTCAGCCGCTGCTAAGTTTCCCTCTCCCCTCTCCCCCCGGTCTAGAAATCTCCTCAAACAATGCAGAAAACTGCTCTGAGTGGCCTCTCCTTGCCCTGCGCCCCCCGCGGTCACCACGTCCATCCCCTTACTCCACATCAGTCCTGGCCCCTTCGCCCAGCTTGCTCGGACGTCTCTCTGCTCTCCCTCAAGTATCAGGGATAGCATTTTTTTCTTGTCCATCTCAAGTTCACTAACACGTTTGGAAAGTTCCTCTGAAGCCTCTCCTAGGGCCTGAAAAGGGAGCGCAGCCTGTGTGTGTGAGGACACCTCTCTGGGCCTCAGGACTTGCCTGGGAAGCGAGGGGCGGGTGGCCCTGGCGGGAGGCTGGTAACAGGAAGGATGGCAGGACAGCACACAGGCCCCGCCTGGGAGAGAGAAGGGCCCGGCAGCTGCAGCGGCTGCGTGGCTTGGGGTCAGGGGTCCTGCGGGGGAGCCTGGGATGAGCCAGGTCTGCATGGTCAGCCAAGGCGCAGGACAAGCACCTGTCAGGATGGCCCCCAAGGTCCCGGAGGGCTTGGGGCCCCTTCCGCCTACCTCCACATAGTTGTTCTCACAGTAGTCGGCCACCCGCAGCAGGGCGCTGTGGTTTTCCCGAAGCGCCTCCCGGCCGGTGGGAATCTCAAACTCCTGCAGCTGCTGCAGCTCCGCCATGGCCCCAAGCCTGTGACTGGCTCCCCCGGGGAGCCGGCTGGTTTTGCACCTCACCTTGCCCTTGATTGGTCGCGGGGCCTTCCCTCCCTCTCACTGCTTTTGGTTTCCTCTGCGTGAGAGACCCAGACCCGCTTGCAAAGCAAAGGCATGCTTGTTCCCGGACAAGAGGAAGTCGGTCCCTGCTCCCTGAGTCTTTCTCTTCCCTGCCCAGAGGAAGGGGGTAGCCAGGGGCCTCTTTGGGGGCCCAGTCCCCCAATTCCTCCCAGCAGAGGAAGCCACCGTCCTGCCCTGTGACTGTGATTGCTCCCTGGGCCTGGAGAGGAAACTGTTCAGAGGGGGATGGGCTGGAGGCTGGGGAGGAAGGGGGCAGGCCTGCTGGGGTGTGGGGGGGGGAATGGATTTTCCACTCATGGAAGGGGAGGAAAGGACAGAGGGTGGGGGCTTCCTTGGGAAGTGCAGGGATGAGTCACCAAAGGATGGGGGAGTGGAGGGTGGATAGGATATGGAGACATGGAGACTGGGCATGCCAGGGGGCTGCAGGGTGGAGGGACAGTGACAATGGAAAACAGCACAGACAGCAGCAAGAGGAGTCAGTCTGGACAGTGGGAAGTTACACCCCAGCCCCCCGAGAAGGGCTACCCAGCCTCCAAAGGGTTATATGGGATGACAAGCTGGTGCCTGCCAGAGGCAGGGCTGATGGAACTGACGGACCTCAGCTTAGACAACAGGAAGGACTTAGCTTTGTGAAGCACCAGGCTCAAATTCCAGAGTAACTGGCTGGTGGAGAGGCAGCGTGGACACCGAGCGGGCCTCAGGAGGTAAGTGCCCCTTTTCCTGCACTCACAGGGGCTGTGGAGGAGGAGACCTCCAGGTCCTGTCTTGATCTCAAATTCCCAGAGCTCACAGCTGTTTGTGGGGCGTGGATCCTGGAGCAGGGGGAGTTGGCATGGACTCTGGGCTTCATCCCCTGCCTCCCACTGCTCAGTCTGTCCTCCCAGAAGTAGGAAGCCATGGACTGCTCCCTGGGGCATCTGCTCCCGGAGAGGGCTCCCTGTCATCAGTCAGGCGTCTGCTGAGGTGAAGTCAGTGTTTGTTAAACGGCGTCACCCTGGAGTGTTCCTAGGGCGAGACCAAGAAGATCATCAGGATGTGTCCTGTGCTGGGACTGAAGAGGGAGGCCACAGCCAGAGCTCAGAGGGAGGCGTGGAGGCAAACAAGCATAGCCGTGGGTGTTGGAGGTGACAAGTGCTAGCTGGCACAGCATCATCAGCAAGGACATGTTTCTTGAGTGAGTGAATGAGGACTGAGCTGGTGGCATAGGGTTTGGATCTCAGTGCTATCACCACTGAGGCCTGAGTTCGATCCCCGGCCAGGGAGCTACCCACATGGTGCAGCAGACCTCTTCTGACTCACCTGCTGCTCCCCTCAGCAGTGTATTTCAGCCAGTCTGCCTGTTCTGCTCCCCACTCAGTCTCTGGTGAATCCTCTCACCTCTAGTCTACACCCCTGCTCTTATATGCATAAATAAATATATAAGGGCCTCCCCTGTGGCGCAGCGGTTGAGTGCTGGGTTGTGAAGCTGCCCCGCAGCCTCTGCATCGCCGGTTCCATCCCCGGCTGCTCCCCGGCCACCACCGGAGGAGAGTCCCGCATGGCGCGCAGACCTCTCCTGCCGCCCGCTGCTCCCCTCAGCAGTGTACTTCGGTCCTTCTGCCTGCTCTGCTCCCCGCTCTGGCTCTGGTGGATTCTCTCACCCTCCCACGCTTCTGACTGTACCCAGTGCTTGTATAAATAAATAAATAAATCTAAAAAATTAAAAATAAATTAAAAAAACTTAAAAAATAAATATATAAAACTTTAAAAAAAAAATGAAGACTGAGCTAGAAGAAACTTGAAAGGTGAAATCATGGGGTGTCCATGGGGGACACAAGGGCTTCTTGGGTGAGGTCAGTTAAGACTTGGTTTGGAACTTGCCTCACCAGCCAGAGCAGCCTCAGAAAGAGGTAGGGGAGGAGAGGGCTTGGGAGAAAAGGCAAGGGGGCGGAGGGTGAGGAGCTGCCCTGCAGGGCTGGAGGGTGAGAACTGGGAAAGAGGAACCTCTAAGCCAGAGGGGTCACTGAAGGGTGGGGCTGGTGTGGGGGCAGGGCGTCTGCTCTGGTGGCCATGGGGGCTTGGGCTCAGGCCAGTGGATGGACTTAGGTCCCTGAGCCTGTGATCGGCTTAGGCATCAGAGATTTGGGCTTCTAGACCATCTGCTTTATCCACAGCCTCTCAGCTGATGAGGAGCTTGGAGGCTCACACACCATCTTGTCTGGATCGGGAACAAGTGACTTGAAGTGCAGGTGAGAGGGGCTCAGCTTGCGCTGCGCTGGGATCTAGTCTTAGAAACACTGAGGTTAGGCCCCAGGCGGACCTTCCTGAAGACCCTGGGGGAGGAGTGATGATGATGTCGGTGATGCTGCCCCCGGCATCTGCATCACCAACAGCAAATGTAGTAGTGTTCTTTACGTGCTGAGCGGCACATTAAGATATTTTATATCTATTATTTTCCTAATATGTATATTTATTTAAGGCAGGTGCTATTATTATACCTGTTAGGGGGAAAGGATGTCCTGAGCTAATCCCATGCAGGCTTTGTGGACCCCACCCCCACTCCAGACTAAAGCCATCAAGACTCTGGGAAAGACAAATCCCGTCACCACCAAAGGGAGGGTGGCTGGGACCTGAGGGTGGAGTTGGGCAGCCAGGTTGGATATAAAAACCAAACACGTGGGCCTTGGGGGGCTCACTATCGCTCGCCTCCTGGCTTCACGGCTCCTGGCTTGCAGCCAGCTCTCAGAGCGCCATTTGGGAGTCCTGATCGGCGGATCGGGTAGGACTCATTTAAAACTTTGTCTCCCACTTTTCCCCCAGAGCTGTACATTTCCTCATTTCCCCTTCCCTTGTAAATAAACCTTTCATGAACCTTTCGCGTGTGCCTGCAGTAGAGCATTGATAAGTCCTTTTAAGCGCGCGGGTGAGGACCCAAAGTCAGGCACCCCGTTTTGTATGAGGGTTGCTCTACAACATACCCACTTGGTAGAAGGGGATAGTAAGACTCAGAGAGGTTGGGTGACTTGCCTAAGGCCACACAGCAAGGAAGTGTTGTAGAGCAACCCCGATACAAAACGGGGTGCCTGACTGTGGGTCCTCACCCGCGCGCTTAAAAGGACTTATCAGTGCTCTACTGTAGGCACACGCGAAAGGTTCATGAAAGGTTTATTTACAAGGGAAGGGGAAATGAGGAAATGTACAGCTCTGGGGGAAAAGTGGGAGACAAAGTTTTCAATGAGTCCTACCCGATCCGCCGATCAGGAATCCCAAAATGGCGCTCTGAGAGCTGGCCGCCAGCCAGGAGCGGTGAAGCCAGGAGGCGAGCAATAGCGAGCCCCCCAAGGCCCACGTGTTTGGTTTTTATATCCAACCTGGCTGCCCAACTCCACCCTCAGGTCCCAGCCACCCTCCCTTGGTGGTGACGGGATTTGTCTTTCCCAATGTCTTGATGGCTTTAGTCTGGAGTGGGGGTGGGGTCCACAAAGCCTGTGTGGGATTAACTCAGGACATCCTTTCCCCCTAACAGAAGCAGCAGAGCTGGGATCAGGGCAAGATTCTGGCAGGTTCCAGATCCCCTTCTCTTAACCACTCGTGTGCACGCCTTTGACAGCACCTGGAGACAAAAAAGAAAGTTTCTATCCGTGTCCTTATGTGGAGTAATAACTTTCCTTTCCACATGCTCCTCACAGAAACAGACCCCTTTCCTCTCCGTTCTCTGTGCCTTGATTTTGTTCTGACTGGTCCTTAGCAAAGGACAAAGATGGAAACTCCCTCAGCCCGGAGTGCTGGCTCCTGAGTGTAGACCCACTGGGGGAGGGGAGGAGGCAGGGACCAGCCTGGACTTGAGGGGTTGCTGGGAAATATGGCAGGGAAGGGAAGAAGTAGAAGTTGAGCTGTGGGGAGAGCAGAGGAGGGAGCTGGGGGAGCACAGGGGATCTGCAATCAGCTGTGGGATCCTTCTGGGGACCGTGTCTCTCCAGTGCATCATGGCCCAAGATCTAAGTGAGAAGGAGCTGCTGAAGATGGAGGTGGAACAGCTGAAGAAGGAAGTGAAGAATCCAAGAGCTCTGGTGAGCCTCCTGTTACCTCCCATGCTCCCTCTGCTCACCCGCTTCAGCTTCCTCATGGAGCCGGGTCCAGGTCTGAAGGAGGTCACCGGATGGGGCAGTGGAAGGAGCGGCAGGTGACTCTGAGATGAGGCAGGGTGTGGCAGGGGCTGCGGCTTGGCCCATGGGAATGCCTGGGAGAGAGCGGGAGGGAGCTCTCACCCCAGGCTGGCCTGGCCAAGTTACCAGGCCTTGTGGTTCTGGTCAAGGAGCTCACGCCCCTCTCACACCTGCCAGTCCCTTTCGTCTTGCTCCTGCCAGGCCTCCGTCCCCAACCTGCCCAGACATCCTTTTCTAGGGACTGACCAAGTCACAGATCCAGCAAGCAAGGGCTGGAACTATATTTTACTTTCTTTCAGATTTCCAAGACGGGAAAGGAAATGAAGGATTATGTGGAGGCCCAAGCAGGAAACGACCCTCTTCTCAAAGGGATCTCTGAGGACAAGAATCCCTTCAAGGAGAAAGGCGGTTGTATGATAAGCTGATGCGGCCAGAGCCCCTCATCCTGACTGTCCCCACTCCCTACCCAGAACCAAGTGTCAGGGACACCCTAGGAACAATGGATTTCCACCTTCTCTAAGTTGCAGGATGAGTAAAGTTACCTGATTGCCTGTGAATTCATTCCCAGATCCCACCCAGCTCTTCTCCCCCACTATCTCTTCCACCCTCTGGGTCCCTGCTGACCCCACTTGAAAACACTCAGAGGAGAATGTCCCTGGCTCAGCAGTTGGCATCTCAGGTGGTGGGGTCTGAAAAGCCTGTAGTCCCTGGGGGTGCTAGAGGGTGATCCCTAGGAAACCTTCTCTTTCTCCTCCACCGTCTTCCTAGGGACAAGCATTCCCATCAGAATTGGGGCAGGCCCTATTCCCCATCTCAAATCTGATCCTGCAGTCCTCCTGCCAAGCATTTCCATCACCCCAGATGTCCTGAAAGACAAAAAGATAGTAAAGTAGCGAGCTCATGATTTATTTATTATTGTGTGTCAGTTATGGGCCGGGCACTAGGATAGAAATGGGCAAGACTAACAGGGCTCTGATTTTAATGGAACTTGTCAAGGTAGACGTGGAAGCAGGAGTTCACCATTAAATAGTAAGTGGCCCTATGGGGAAAGGAAAATCAAGGATGATGTAAGAACACACAACCTCCAGGACAACGAACAATGTCAAGGTGACCCAGTGGGGGCAGGGGAGTGACGAGACATGAGGCCAGAGAGGGAGATGAGATCTTGCTATGGACTCAGCTAAGCACCTGTGTAGGGACGCGTAGGCCAGTAGGAAGCCCAGGAAGTTCCTGGCCGTGGTGAGCAGAAGGAAGGCTGGACTCTGCGAAGGGCACAGTGGAGGAGGGTGATTCTGGGGCCTAATCTCTGTGGGATATGATGGGGTGGAGGGCTTAGGAAGATGGTTAGTCCAGCAGAATGGGTGCATTATGTCCTGGGAGGGAGGACAGGAAAGGCCTCTAGAAGGAGGTGATAGTCAGAGCTGAGTGCTAAAGGGGTAAGTTGTAAATGGAGGCAGCCTATGCAGCCCCGGTTCGATCTCTGGCAGCTGGTGAGGATCCCACATGGTGTGCAGACCTCTCCTGCCACCCACTGCTCCCCTCAGCAGTGTACTTTGTCCTTCTGCCTGCTCTGCTCCCCGCTCTGGCTCTGGTGAATTCTCTCACCCTCCCGCGCTTCTGACTGTACCCAGTGCTTGTATAAATAAATAAAGAAATCTTTAAAAAAACAAAAAACAAAAAAACAGAGGCCTGGTGGGGGTTTGGGGGAGGAGAGAACCAGGGTACAAATGCAAACACTAATAGACTGACCTTATAGGAATGTCCAGAGACCTAGACCCTGAGGGTGAGCTGCTGGAGAGGTGGGCTTGGAGGCATCCTAGGCCTCTTGCTTCTAATAACCAACCTTATCCGCTGAGAGTGAATTGGTAATGTTGGGGGGCAGGGGAGGCTTTGATAAAATTGAAAGGGGGAAAGGGAAAGAGTGAAAGCAGAGAGGCCATTAAGGGGTTGATCTCAGATCAGGGCAGGGCTGAGGAAGTCTGGATAAGGGCGGTGGTGATGGTGGTGATGAGTCTAGGCACAAGGAGGGAGTAGGTTTCTTTGCGAAATAAAATTTTCAAGTCTTGCTGCCTCATTGAATGATGGGAGAAGAGGGAGAGGCAGGAAGATGTTTCTGACTTGGGGATTACTAAATAAGATAAGGGGATAAGATAAGATAAGGTTAGCCTGAGGCAAGCCTAAGAGTGACTGTAGAACACCTAGAGCAGCAAACTGCCAGCCTCCCCTCCCCAGCAGGTCAGCGCCCAAGGGCGCGGCCACCTGCTTGCTGCTGTTGGCAACTGCTGGAATCCTTGACCTTCAGGAGCAAGTGGACACCTTTCCCAGCTCCACCCTGACTCCACCTCACCATTCTGCAGCCTAGAATGAATTTAGCCACACTCCATGTATGCCATCAAGAAAAGGAGAAACAAGAAAGAAAACATTTAAATATAATATCTTGTTTTTTAAAACAGGGAAGGGCAAATATTCACATGGCTCTAGCAGCCAGAAAGGAAGAACAGATGGAGCCACCTTCTCGAAGCTTGGTCCATGACCATGGCTGCGTGGTTCACCTGCACGGCCTTGTGCCTTCAGGCACACTCTCACCACAGGGCTCGTCAGTCCATCCCAGTGACTCTAACCTTTACTCTTAGAGGCTGAACCCTTGGCAGAGCTCTGCCCAGAGCATGGCTTTTTCTATTCACCATTACTCAGGGCCTGGAGCCCCAGGTGTTCTCTGGGCCCCTCCCACACACTACCAGTTGTTTAATAAAGCCAATTATTTCTCTAAATTTGTGGATTTTTTTTCGTAACAAATTACTAAGTGCAGTGTGAATCGTGGCAGAGAAATAGGACATTAGTGGGAAAGCGAGGGAAATCCAGATGATTTGGGAACAGTCATAGCCTGTCCCCCCAGACTCAACGTCAGTCATCAGCCCGACACTAACCCCCTTTTCTGTCAGTTTTCCTACTACTGTAACAGGGTGGTCCCCAGGAAAGGGGGAGGTTCCAGGTTCCCTGCCCCACCCAAGGGAGGGTGGAGCTGAGCAGGAAGAGGAGAAGCTGGAGAAGAGACTGAGGAAAGAAGCAGGATGGAGCCAGGAGACCTGGAGGAGGCACATGGAGCCTAGAGACACGTGAAGAAGCTGCACTTGTCTTTTGGTCGTGGACGGGGTGACACAGATGTGGGTGAGACCCATGGGGAGGTGACAATGGCAGCTTTTATCTTGATGTTGATTTTGCTCTTTTCCTTCCGGGCTTGTCCAGTTGTTTGTGACCCTTTTCTGTGGGTCTCCACTGGAAGATGCTTTAGACTTGTGGCAGGCCTTGGGGCCTTGCTCTGGGCCAATCCCATATGGATGGACTTTTACCCACGAGGGGATGGGTAACTTTGGGTGCTTCATTTAGAAACTAGACTCTTTGCCTTACCTGTGTTGTTTCCTAGTTTAATTAAAGTTCCTTCCCATTAAAGTCTCCTATGTTTTGTGTTGATGCGGCGGATGGCAGAACCCATTTAGAATAGGCAGGTTTGTGGGGCTTGGGCTGCCCCTCTCCCTGTCCTATAACAGATTTGGCGTCCAACGTGATTTAGGACAGAGCCATCCGTGGTTAGTCAGCCCCATGGGAAGTTGGGCTTCCCTATGGCACTGGCTACCATAAGCGCAAATGTGATTTTTGGTTTCTCCAGTGTGTTTGTTTCATATGTCGATTTGCTGTTGAAAAACTGGCTTGGGCTTTGTGAAGATTCTGCGTGTTTGTGTGTAATTTGTTTGTAGTGACTTGCTAAGAGATTTTAATTTGTGGAAATTGTTCTGTGCTAGTTTCACTCAAAAGATTAGGCAGTACGTTGGACCATGTGGCCAGATCAAAGATGGCGTCTGAGGCCACTTGGCGGGCTCTTGTAAAATTCAGAGGTTTTTGTTGCTAGGACTTTGGAACTTTTTTTTTCTTTCTTTTTGTAATCTCTGCTGTCTCATTAGCATTTCTAAAGGCAATAATGGTTCTGTGATACCTTGCTTTGTCTTTGGCTACTTCCTGCTCTCTGCCTGATGGATTTTGCAAGCCAATTGTGGAGCAGTGGTGTTTAAATTAGCAAATTTATGCCTGGGTGTTAAGGAAAGAGTAGCCTTAAGCAGTAACTGGTAATTGCTGGTAGCCTTGATGGATTCTTGGAGGTAACTTGAATTTTTGCAAAGTCTGGATCAGAAAAATTAACAAGATTTTGTCTGAGTCTGAAAGGATTTGCTGCTGTGAATTTTGTCTACACAATTTGTTTTGGGCATGTTTGCCATTTTGAATACTGGATTTGTTCAATTGCTGGTGCAAGACAAGATTCTAAGTTTCTGCTTCCTACTGAGGAAGGTCTGTTATGGAAAGCACTTTTTAGGGTGCATCATGTAACTGTACCAGGTTTTCATACCTGTGTTGTTGTTGTCCCTCCCTAGTGTGAGGGAGGTGTAATCTGTGCTTAGATGTTTAATCTGCTCTTTCAGCTTCTGTCCCAGAGTGGCTAACAGAAGTAAGGAGATGACTCCTTTTAATTGAAAGTTAATTACTGATAATTTGATTTTGCTTTTTCAGGTTCTATTCCAGGAAACCCAAGAAGTGCCTGCTTGGTGGCTAACAAGAGATGACTCCTTTTGCTTAAAAGTTAACTGTTACTTTTATTCTTTCAGTTGCTGTACAGAATACCCCAGGATTGCCTTCTAATAAAAAGTCTTCAACACTGAAAACCCTAAGGTGATAAACAAGGTCATGTAACTCTTGTGATTAATAAAACTTTTCCTTCCTATTTCCAAAGTCTTAGGTTTATAGGATGACAACTGGAAATTTTTCTGCCAGCAACACTCCATTTTTTTTTGGACTTTGATATTTTTTTTCTGAGTCTATGGAGTAAAACTGCAGTTACATAACATATTCTACGTGGCATAACTAAAAAAAACTGTCTTTGTCTATATGTTGTATGTCCTTGTGTCTGTCTTGGCCTAGAGAGGTTGAAAAATTGGTATACGTGGTGCCCATAGACGTTGGGAAAAAAAAAAGTCTGCAGTTATGAGAAAAACTAAAGGTTATGGTTTGATTGTCAACATTGTGCTACTGAACTAAGCCGGTGCCTTCATAGAGATTGAATATTGTTGTTTCTGTTAATTTTCTGATATTTATGGCAAAGCTTCCCAGAAATCTAAATTCAAGTACAAATTTGGTAGCCTGTCATTTGACTGATGCAAGGAAATTTTGTGGAACCTCAGTAGAGCTCCTGAGACACTCCACGAAGTTTCTCCTTTTCCTCCTGGGAAGGCATTAGATGAATTTGTTCTATTTGGCTTTTACCTAATGAAGTAACACTGGAAGGGAAGCATTGTCACTTGGGAAAATGGTAAAACTTTGGTATGTACAAAATGTTAACAGCAGTTTTCTAAAATGTGTATGAAAAAAAACCTCTCAGTATCTGGTATGTATGTAAATTGTCAATGGTGCTTGTCACCTTGTAATATTGTATAATTCAATTGTTTCACACCTACAGAAATTGTTTCTGGAAATATAGGGAGAAAAGGTCTCAACAGATTCCTATTGATGGAACTGTTGAGAGTAAAAAACTTTCCTACAAAGGACTGAATAGACCTGGAAATACACCTGACATTTACTAAGGTTTCTTTGACATAATACTGGAAATTTTTTTATGCATTCTGTCCTGAATCCACGAAGTTTTTGTTTTGTTTTGTTTTGTTTTGAGTAACCAGGATCTGCAGAAAGGTTGCAATTTTTTTTCCAGCAAAGCTAACTTGTCACATTTTCTCTCCCCTTGATACCAACACGGCATACAAATAGTGGTAGTAATTTTGCTACTTATCTTAGAGTCTGTTTTTGCATAACTTACATAGGGATTTTGCCTGTTTTAACAAAAAAATTGGACATAAGTTTCATTGTGTGGCTTTGTGTGGAGCTCCTCCAGAAAGTTGAAACAGAGCTGAACCAAGAAGAGGAGAACCTGTTTGCCTTGTTTGTAGGGTTCCAGAGACCTCCAAAGAAGGTGAGGAAGCTTGCCTCCATTGGCAGGACTGGACAACCCGGCCAACGAAAAGTCCCTGGTATCCTCAAGAAGAGGAAAGCCCAGGTGGAGTCTGATGAGACTAACTTTGTACCTGAAGCCTACGTCTACTGGATGCCAATGGTTCGCTCTGATCCTATATGGAGTATTTCAACAAAGCCAGCTAAAAATTGCTGTTAGTTATTTCTGCCCTGTGATTTTATGCAAAAATAGGAAAAATGGTTTAAAAGTAGATTTAATTTGCAAACTTTTGCTATGCTGTTAAAGTTTGGGATCAAGGTTGAGAGAATTCGTTTTTGCATAAGTTGAACCATTTTAACATTTTTTCCCTGTGATTTTGATATATTTGCTGTCTTGTTTTAGCTAACGCTCCAATTTTTTTTTTCTTTTGGCTAGTATAATGGACTATTTTTCAGAATGGAAAACTGTCATACTGGACATTCATAGACAATGCTGCTGACTAATTGTTGCTTCTCTTACACACATTGTAACCCTAAAAAAGACTGTCTCCTAAGACTACACCCTGAGATTGTGCCACCATAGATATGGTGGAATAAAAATTAAAAG